GGTTTTAATCAGCCATTGTGTAATTTTTCCTTTTTCACCTTTCCCATTATTTTTATTTTACTCATTGATCTACCTACTTTTTATATATTTATTACATTAAGATGTTTAAGATTTTAAACTTTTTGGAAACAAGGTAACTATGAATTTTTTTTTTGCTATTATAAAATAGTTTCTCTAAAGGCATTTCTTCTACTGGTTTTAATATAAGTTCAAAAGAATTTTTTTCCTGGTGCTGGATTCAAATTCATGCCAAGCAAGCATACCACCACTGAGCTGCATTTCCAGCTCTTGGATTTTTTTTTTGGTAGTACTGGGATTTTGAACTCAGGGCCTCACACTTAGGCAAGTGCCCTACCTCTTGAACTCCCAGCCCTTTTTGCTTTATTATTTTTTTTGATAGGGCCTTGCTGGGCCTGCCAGACCAGAATTGTCCTACATAACTGGGATTGTAGGTGTGAATCATCATGCCTGGCTCAGCTCTTGGATTTTTGAGACAGAGTATCTCTGGCCTCAAATTCACATTCCTCCTGCCTCACACCTGGTTACATTTATATTTTCAGTGTGTTTATTTTTGGAATTCTTTGTGAAATTATACTGAAATACATTATAAAACTCAGGAAGATGGAGTATTTTTCCAATTTTGGGATTTCTCTTTGACTTTTATGAGCAACTTCCCATTACTTCCCTCCATTTAATCCAGTTCAGAAAAGTACATAGAAGAATACTGGGCCTGGTATCAGGAAACCTGGTTCCTAGTCAAAGATACATAACTTTGTTAAATAGTTTGAACAAAGTTAAATACATTGGCTTATCATTTGGTTTTTCTTGGTGTTCAGAATCTCTCAAAATCAAATCTGATATGTTTTCAAATGAACACTTTAGCACAATTTTCAAGATGAAGATCATATTGTCTGTTAAATTCTTGTTGCTTTTTGTAATCCTATCATTGACCACCAGCATTGTGAAGTTTGGCAAAATTACCAAAGTTCTGAGGTTGTTTTCTTTTATGTCGGTGGAGATGATTAATGCTTACCTTGAAAGATGTTAAGGAAGATAAATTGGGTAGTGAATATACTTTAAAAATGCTTAGTTTAGGTATTCTGTAAAATTATTTTCTTATAGTTTTATACAATGATAGTAGATTTCTCGGGCACAAATTTCATGTATAAAAAGATACTAAGTATATTAATTGTTGATAAAGCATTTTTTGTGGTAATTGTACTATAAGGAGGCAGGATATTTGCATACATTTACTTTGAACAAAGATTCAATTTCTATTCAGCTTCTTTAAGTAACACGGTTATTTGGTCTTACTAGATGCTTTGTTAAGCATCTTAACTTTTGGTGATTAAGAAATGTGTTCCAAGTGAAGTTTTATATAAGAGAATCATTCTTTGAAGTTGTTTTTGCCTTTTTGGTACTATATTGATGTTTGGAAACATGAGGTATCTAGACAGGAGTTGTTTTAAGCATATTTACTAGATATAAGTAGTACATTAGTGAACTGTCACAGTGGCTAGCAGATTTAATAGATGAATGAAGTGAAAAGTACCAAAAATGACTTTTGGAATTTATTTTAATCTGACTTGCGGTATTTTGTATGTTCAGTATTATATGATCTATTTATCACTTTAAAAATATGCCCAATAATATCAAGTATATAATACTCTATGGCTATTTTACTCTGCATGGAATAGATTTAAAGGTCAACACTACTCTTTTATGTAGGTTATGGGTGCTACATGTGTGCTTTCAGAGCACTAGTGTGAGGAAACTTGAAGTGGGATGGCAGGACGGCCTCATCCCTATGACAGTAACTCCAGTGATCCAGAGAATTGGGATCGGAAATTGCATAGTAGACCTCGTAAACTTTATAAGCATTCAAGGTAGGTAGAAAATATGTGTTTCACATATCAAAACTCTGCTAAATCTGATTGCAAAGATTTGATTGTGGCAAGTCCTGTCAGAGATGGGGGCTGGTTTACAAAATATCGTGCATGTTTCTGTTTCAACTTAAATAGCTTTTAGAGAAAAATTTCTTTCCTTTTGACTTTTTGTTTGTATTTGTTTGAGTATTCTATTTCCAAATTATGTGAAAGTCTTAGTGTACCCCATATTAAGTGTTATAATTGGATTGATCAGAAACTCTGGCAAGGCTGGTTAGTTCTTTATATTTGAAACTAACAGGAATTTATTTGTACTCTAAATATAATGTGTGTGCAGATTACACCTGATAATTTATATGTTTATGTCAGTCTTTGCCTATATACATTTTTAACTTTGTGAAATAGATTATGTTGTCACAGTGATCCTAATGGAAAATTAATTTTTCTGGGTTGACTACCGGTGCATTTAAAATTTTATGCGTGAAATGAAATTCATTTCAGAAGTTTCTACTCATCTATATGTTATTTTTTAAACTTTCATTTTGTGCTATGTGACTAAATTAGGAATACCTCATTTAGAACACTATGTGATCTGTTATCTTAAAGTGTTAATTGACAGCTCATAAACTTCACATGTTACAGGTATGTAAGCATGTTTTCATAGATGATTTTGCTTCATGAATATTACTTAGAGGATATAATTGAACATTTAACTTTTGAATATAAAATTCTCCTAATCACTATAAATAAATACTACCTTTTTTTCAAGAAAAAAATGCCATGATATTGAAGTCATTTTTGTAATTTTAAAGAAATAGTTCAAATATTTTAAAACTATATACTATGGAAAGAATATAGGAATAACTGGTACTTTTAAATTCTGACAAGATGCTTGCCTATATTGTAGAGTTATAATGTGATGAGCTCTTAAAATGTTAATATGAAAATTGCTTTATTAATTTATAAGTACATGCCACATGATATGAATGGTTTTTTATTTGTTTCTTCTCTTTGTGTGTGTACATACGTGCTTGCACATGCGACCTTCAAGTGGGGCTCTAGTTCTTTTTCTCTGTTTTATGGATAATTATCTTGTCCTTGAGAATAAAGAGATACTGGTTTTTATTATATTGTATGGGACAATATTTGTACCTACTATATTGTATACCTATTTTGGGGGGTGAATTTTATGTTCTGCTTCTAATTCTTGATATTTTTCTGCTGATGTGCAGTACTGCATTATTTAATACAGAGGTGTGAACAGTAGAAATGACATTGTTTGCATTTTAAAAGCTTCATGCATTCAATGAGAATTTATAAAGATGTGCAGTACTTTTTTCCTTGCTATTGTTTCATTTCAATAATATATAGAAAATAATGTCTATAGGACTAGTATCTTTGTGTGTGTGTGTGTGTGGTGCTATTTTTGGCCCAGGCCCTCAAATATGCTAGGCAAACATTCTACTACTGAGTTATACCCCAGACTGTTCATTAGTAACTTTTTGATGTTGTTTTTAGGTAAACTGTAGCAGTATTTAGAATTTTGAATGCAAAACATTGAAGTAATAAATACCAATAAATTGATTAAAAATTTTTAATAGGAAAACCATAAAGTCCCTTGAATGAATTTATTTTAAGCCCTTCTGGAAAACCTTCCCCAGCAAGAACAGCTTACTTTAGAGACCTTTGGTCCTTACCTGCTTAGGAACATATAACTTAAAACACTTAAGAAAAGTAGAGTTTGATTTTTTAAAATGATGGCAAACTAATTGGGTGAGAAATTTAAAAAAACTAACAATCAACAGCTTTATTGAGAACCTGCCCTCAGTTCAAAGTGTGTCAGGGTACTGGTAGGGAGTATTAGGGAACAGCTATAGGACTATAGGGTACTTAAACTGTGGTACCAAATTGTGAAAAAGTTCAGAGAAGGAATCAATATCCACTTGATAGGCAAAAATAAGACTGGAGCTAACCCTTATGTGATTAGAGCATTAGGGTGTCTGTTAGGAACCTTTAGGAGATTACCTTGATTGGATCTGAAGGTAGAGCTCTGGATAGTAATACTGTCTCCATTTGTCAGATAAAAAAGGGAGGTGAATAACCTTGCTGAAGGCCATCCAATGTGTAAATGGCAGAGCTGGAATTGATAACTAGTTTCTCATTCTTTTTCAAATTTTAAATAATTATTATAGAGAAACCAGATAATGAACTTCCACTACCTATCACCCAGGTTGAAGTTACCAACTCATGCCTGATTTTGTTTCATCAGTATCTCCACCTACTCATCCCATTTTTTTAAATCTTACATATTTTATTTAGGGATGTTTAAATCAAAGAAAACCAAACTAAACATTGGCTTAAGTTAGGAATTTACTTATTTATTTTTTGTACACTGGAAGTCCAGAGGTAGGTGATGGTTGATGTATAGTTAGTTGCTTAAAGATACTAGGGTTAACTATCTCTGATTTGCTTGACTTTTCCATCATGATCAGAAGATGGACATATAATTCTAGTCATCATGTCCATCTTTTAGACAAGAAGAGAGAAAGGGACAATGAAAAAGGCCTCCATTTTATCAGGAAATTAATTTTCTCAGATATTCCCAGCAGGTATCTGCTTAGAAATCATTGGTTAGAACTATGTTATATGGCTGTCTCTGAATCAGGGAGACTGAGAAATAGTTTAGAAACTGGGCATATTGTTACCTCAAATAGAATTTGGGATTTAAATTTATAAAAAGTAAAGAAATAACATAGTTTTCTTTATAGTTCAATTTTTATAGTTAATCCAAAAGTCATCTTGGTTTAACATGTTTTGTTTTGTTTTATTTTTGAATAGCCTCGTTTTTTCAGTTTTTTACTTTTGATTTTTCCCCACCCTTCCTTGCTAGCTATGATTAAAAACACTTTTGATTTTAAAGTAATAATTGCTCTTATCTTACATACTTTTGCTGATGTTTCAGGGTTTCATAGGTATTAGCTTATGATTTCTATAATACCTAATACAATCTTTAAGGTACTTTTTTCTAGATTTTCTTTAGCAGGTAGATTTGATAAGTATAATACTGTGATATAAAAGAAAAGTAGAGAAGCTTTTCTGGACATAGACTTAAGGATGGATGCCTGTGACTTTTCTGGTGTATACACATAAATTAGTTTTAAAATTAGTGAAGTTGGTGTTTCTGTGTTATACAGTTAATACCAAAGGAAGAGGTGTTGTGGCTTGCAGAAGATGTTAACAGTGATTTCAGTTGAAGTGTATTTAGTCTGAAATGTGACAAAGTTATGAATTAGAGGCGTGTCTTGCAATTTTAAAAAAGAAAAAGGACACCTCTTTTGTATAACAGTAAAATATGTGTTGAAAATATGCTAAAAACTCTTGAATACTTTGAACTGAGCAGAATATGACTATATAAAACTCCTATCTGCAGTCTGCTCAGGTTGTGAAAGATAAATGTATGATACATTGAGTATCAGACTTTGCCGCAAGGCTTCATTCCCACGTAGAAGTACGCATGCTCATTTCTTGTGAGACTGCATGAGGTATGAGTGTTCCAGTTTCCCTTTTAAGTTGCTCCCATAGTCCCAGCAGCAGTTTAGAATGGAAAAGTTTGGTCTCTTAAAAGAACAGTTCTTGAGTGAATTCTTAAAGTACAACTAATATATTTCCTATATTTTTTTGAAGAGAAGCTCTGTTGTCCAGAATGGATATACTCTATTGAAAAGAAAAAAAAGAAAGAAAGAAAGTTATCTGCATCCTAGTTTCCTGGAACCTGGCAAGCTGTCAGAGCTAGAATTAGCTTTTACAGATGGCATTTGGCAACGTATCTACATATCTCTAAGCTCTCAGCCTCTTGCGTTTTCTTCCACCTGTCTATCAGTTACAATGTCCAATCACTGTTCAGAGATGGAGAAATGGGATGATCACAGCTCGCACGATGCTGTTTGGTTAGAAACGTCAGTGCTGCACAACCCACGGCTGAGTCAGTGTCTGTGAGAAAATGAACTGAATTAATATATAGAGGGGGTTGAATCTCTGAACATTTAAAGCCTAAATATCAGCAACAGCATTATTACCCAGTAGAGAGAGGAAAGCTAAAGGAAGTCTGTGGACAGGTGAGGTAGGGGGAGACTGGGAAATTTTCTGATTGTTCAGAGGCATCTTGAAGATAATGGAAATATCAGATGTGCTAAAGTTTCCTAGTAATGCCCAAGGATGCTGACCTGGCTTTCAGTGCTGCATTGTTTGAAAGAGCAGAGTCCCTGTATACTCTGATTTCAAAATTTTTTTCTTGTTTTTGTGTGTCTACCTTGGCATATGCTAAAGGAAGGTGTGTATTCATTTATTACATGATAAGTCTGGGTTATAATTTTGTACATATACGAATATGAGAGAGAGGCTAAGAGATACTGGCCTTTGTTTCATTACGATCATTCCATTTCTAGATGTAAAAGATCATATATCTGATTGTCACTTTGATGCCAAATTAATTAAAATAAATGGAATATGCTTTTGTTGTTTTTAAGGGTTTGATGTTTTGGGTTTTTACTTCATGTAACTTGAGAATTCATTGTTTGATACTGTGTTTTATAAATGTAAAAACTTTAGTGAAAGACTAAAGTAAAAATATTTGAAAATAAGATTCAAGCAGAGAAATGCCGTAATTCTTAGCATGGAATCAAATGTATTTAAAAGATGGAATTAAATGTATTTTTAATTTTGGATGGATTAAGGATTAGTTGAACCAGTTATCTGTAGTAGTATTTTACAAGGCTAAATGCATTTGAATGGTAAAGCTCTACTTGGTTAAAAGGACTTTCTTTCTAGTCTTACAGAACATGCACTCTAAATAGCTGATCTAAATACTGCCATTGAAACAGAAAATAAGCCAGATAAGTTTTTGGATTAGTGCAAATTAATTTTCAAACAAATAAAAATTTCTAAATAAAGGTAATTGTTCTTACCGTGAGAGTTTAAATCTTAACAGGTGATACTGCTTACCTGATTAGGAAATTTTAGCACAATTTAAAAGATATTAACTGATGTTTTTTTTCCCTTCTGTCTTCATTACCACTATCTGACTGATAATTTTGTAGGGACTTTGGAATATTAAATATTTTAAAGTTACTTTATTTTTAATGCATATAAGTAGTTTGTACTTTCCTGGAAATTCTTGTGACTTCCCCTGTTTAATTTCTAAAAATTTGAATGATTGTTCTGTGGTTGTTATGACTTAATGTATATTAGATTAGTAGTGTCTTATATTTAGAGGTTGTTTTATTTTTGGTATGTGTGGGGGGGTGGCATCCAGAAATGTTTTTCTAATCTTGTTATAGTAATAGTTATAAATTTGAAACCTCAAGCTAGACTTTTTTATCTTACACTTCTTAAAATACTTTCCTCTGGTTCTGCCAAATCTTTTAAGATAATAATACCTATTTTCTTATGAAAGTGATACATATTCATTACACAAATTTGGTAAGCATAGAAAAGCACATAGGAAAACATAAAAATATTATTCTATTAAAAGGAAAATATTTTAAGTATTTTGGCATATAACCTTTTTTGTGTAGGTACATTTAAGTAAACGTGTAAAGGTCACACATATATATTAAAAATGACTTCCTGATACTGCTGAATGTACTGTTATATAACCTACTTTGTTTAAAAAGAAAACTATGAGCATTCTCTGTGTCATGAAGCCATCCATAGCATAATTGGATTACATAGTGTTTTATATATACATAGTGTTTAATATATACATGTTGTCATTTGTTCCATCACTCTGAGTTTTTCATATACTTGATTAGAGAAATGATCAGTATGATTCCATAGTATAAATTTCTTCAAAAAGGAAGAATGTCTTAGGGAGATAGATAAAACTGTAATTTTGATATTTTTCTGGTAGGAAAAGAACCTTAGTCTGATTTTAAAGTGAGCTTTTTAAAGATATGCATTCTATTTTTTAAATGAAGCAAGTAAGCCAGAAAGTATAAAAATAAATACTTCAAAAATCAAGAAATGTAAGGCTCAAAGGAGCTTAGATTTTTAAGAATGCTAACACCAACCAAAAAGATTACTTAGGATATATTTAATGAAAGAAGGTGATCAAGGAAAGTATACCAATAATATATAACAATGAGGGAAGACCCTCAGTTCTTACTTGAAAGCTTCTTTGTCAAAAAAGAAAGAGCAGTTAACCATAAATGCCAATAATAAAAATAACAAATGTTGCTAAGAAAAAACATAGAAAGCAGTATAGATAAGCACACAGGTAAAAATACCTGTATTTAAGTGAGATGTTTCTGGGCCATTTGAAGCATCCTATTGTTATACAAGGACCTGCATGTAACATTGTAAAATTGTTTATAGGTTTAGAAGGTTTTATGAGAAAACACAAGAACTGCTAAAAGATGGGAGATTCTGGACCTGATTTTGAAGCAGATACAACACTTGGAACATAAATAAAAGGGACAATTTATGACTAATGACGAAAGCCAGATGAAAAATGTGGTGCAATGGGCTTAACAGTAGATTGTCAGACCGACTTTAATTTTCCTCTCATGTAGATAGAAAACTACTGCCAGTATAATATGTCTGGACTTAAACTTAGCTTTTGGTGAAGCCTTTTTTCATATACTTGGGTGTAAGGTGAGGGAACCAGACAGTCACTAGTTGATTATGCTTAATTCATTAGCCCAGTTTTGATTTTGAATGACTCTATCCAAAGGTTAACTGATCTTGAAACACTGTTTTGTTTTTTTGCTCATCTGGAGGAAGCAAATTATCAAATTTACAGGTAACAATGAAGAAAGAAAGATGGTAAATAATACACGGAATAATCCAGTATGATCTCTTAGGCTGGATTGTTGGCTAAATGTAAGTAAATGAACATTCAGGGAGTATATGTAAGGTCTGAAAAACACCAGTGTACGTGGTTTTACAATATCATGTATGTAAGTAGCATACTTGGTGCACACTCTTACACCCATATTAAACATTTTTAAATAATTTTAAAAAACCCTCTAGCTTGTTTTTCACATAAAACTAATTTTTATCATTTGGGAAAGCTTTTACTTTGTAATAAAATGTTAAGAGTTTTTTTCTGTCAGATTTGAAATCTGAGAAGATGCTCTCAGTACACTCATGGCCACATATACAGACTCCCTGCTGCCTCTGCTGCTTTTTACTTCACTACAGTTGGTGACATATCTGACAATGAGATTTTAGGAAAATGAGAATGATTCTAATATTTAGGACTAGTATTAAAACAAAACTGTCATTGGGCTATATTTCTTATCAAGGTTGCCCTTTGTGGGGGTAATCTGGGATGTAAATATTATTTAAAATATTTCTGTGGGGAAAATAAAAAACAGACTTACAGGTGATCTTCCTTGAGAGCTTAGCCTATTTCTTAGTTGAGAACTTCCTTTTTGAGTATGTGTTAAGCAGAAGAGCAGCAAATTTATAGAATAATAAATGACCAAAAAAAAAAAAGAAACAATGAGAAAAAATTTTCCATGAAATTTGTGTTAAATAGAGTTAGGAGTTTGACAGTATTTCTTATGTTATCACAATTATTAACATTTAATATAGGTATGAAACTTTTTCTATTAATGGTTAGATAATAAGTATTTTTAGCTAGATAGTAAGTATTTTTGGCTAGGTAGACTACATAGACTGTCTCAAACACTGCACTCTGTTGTGTGAAATAAGCTATATACAATAACACAGATTGAGTATCTCTCTACTTAGGACCAGAAGTATTTCAGATTTTGGATTTTTGGGGGGGATTTTGGAATGCTTTCATATAAATAATGAGATACCTTGGGGATGGGACCCAAGTCTAAACATGAAATTGATTTACATTTCATATACATCTTATCCATATGGCCTGAAAATAATTTTATTTTCAGTGTACCTGTGTTTTGGCTTTGATCCATCACCCAGGTCAGGTGTGGAATTTACTTGGGGTGCTTAAAAAGTTTATGATTTGGGGGCATTTCAGATTTTTGGATTAGGAATGCACAACTTACAGTGAATAGGCCTGGATGTGTACCAAAAAACTTTAGCAAAATTAGGCAGTGGATTGAATTTGGCCTAGGAGCCAGTTCTTGATTTAACACATTAAAGATAAATATAAAAAGCATATGCAAGGGTTGGCAGAGTGGCTCAAGTGGTAGATCGCCTACCTAGCAAGCATGAGGCCCTGAGTTCAAAAAGCATATGCACATCAATTGCTTAAAAATGCATTTAATATAAAACTTTTAAATTAGCTAAAAAGCTAGAAATAGGATATAATATTTGTTACAGTAATAAAAGCAGCTTATTTTCCCTCTAAAATAAAAATTTAGGATAAAGATAGTAAATTTTTATTGAGGACAGAATAAGAACATTTAATCAGAAATTTAGAAGGGTGCTTACCTCATCTTTAAGGAAAAATGTTTTTAAAAGTGTGGTTAAAAGTTTTAAAAAACCTTACGAAGCTTCATATCTATACCTGTACACATACATTCTTGGTAGTGTTTGTCAAAAAATAGTGGACCAAGTGTTTAGATACTCTGTTTACTATGAAACTTTGCTATGTTCAATATACATTAAGACATACCAGGTTATGATGTTAGTCATAGAATTCCTCACTCCAGGAGTCATCTGGAGTAAAATGCATATGGTTGTGCCAGGTATAACCAAATTAGGATATCTTCTTTTAATGAGTACCATTCACGTTGTAGATACGTAATTTTGTGTATTTGCCAACAATTTTCTGATATGAATGCTACTTATGTCAGTTACTTCTGAAAATTTTTCTTTTATTAGTTCCTGGATAATTAACTTCCCTCTATTTTGTCTGTTCTCTCTGGAATATATTATATTAGTTGAATGCTGACCTCTTTAATTAGTTGTCTGATTTTCTTATCTTTTCACTGTTATCCATTTCTTTTCTTTGGTCTTTTGAGAATATTCCAGATATTTTCTTTTAGTAACCTTTTAAAAATTGCCATGACTGTACTTTAAATATCTAAGAATTCTTTCTTATTCTCTAACTTAAAAAATAGCAAATTCTGTGTTTTATGGATATAGTATCTTTTAATATTGTTTTATTTTTATAGTTTTACTTTTTTCTATTTCTACATTGTCTGCTGACTTTTATCTTCCATATATTAAATTTTTTCATTGTGAGATAATTTTAGATTTATAAGAATTCATAAAAAATTGTACAGTGAGTTCCAGGATACTCTACCCAGCTTCTCTCAATAATATCTTAAATAAATGAAGTATATTTATCAAACTCAGGAAGTTGACATTGTTATTATACTGTCAACTTTTTTC